TGTTGACCAGGATGGTCTCGATCTCTTGACCTCGTGATCCACCCGCCTCGGCCTCCCAAAGTGCTGGGATTACAGGCTTGAGCCACCGCGCCCGGCCAGAGGTAACATTTTTAAGAGACAGAATCTTGCTCTCCCCCCCAGGCTGGAGTGCAGTGGTACGATCTTGGCTCACTGCAACCTCCGCTTCCCGGGTTCAAGCGATTCTCCTGCCTCAGCCTCTCGAGTAGCTGGGATTACAGGCACCCATCACCATGCCCAGCCAATTTTTGTATTTTTAGTAGAGATGGGGTTTCACCATGTTGCCCAGGCTGGTTCTGAACTTCTGGCCTCAGGTGATCCACCCCCCTCAGTCTCCCAAAGTGTTGGGATTACAGGCGTGAGCCTCCGTGCCCAGCCCACTCAGACAACTTCTGAAACAACATGTCAGTTCACAACACTTTCTTAAAACCCTCCTGTTGTTTCCCATGGCACCTTCCTTACTGCAGCCGATAAGGTCTCACATGAGGGGGCTTCTGCCCATACACTGCGCTTTCCCCACCTCACTCTTCTTGGGTTTCCAACATTTTCCAGAACCCACAGATTATGTCCCACCCAGGGCCTTGTGCCTGGGACCCTCAGCCACCAGTGCCCCCAAAGCCCACTGTTCACCCACAAGGTCTCCCCTCAGATGCGACCGACCTGCTACTCCCCGTCACACCTGCCACAGGTCTCTCTCCTGTGCCCTCCCAGCGCCTGCCTTGGTTGAGCTCGGGTGTCTATGTTCTGTCTGCTGGCTGTCCAGGTGGCTCCCCTGCCAGACACAGCCCCAGCCCCAAGGAGTGGACCCTGGAGAGGCATCTGAGGAGTGAACGAGCACCAGCCCCCTTCTGGGTGGCCGGTGGATGTTTCCGTTACTTGATCTTGAACTGTCAGTGGGCGCGGCAATTCTGAGCGGGGGTTTTGGCTCCTCTGTTTTTTGGGAATAGGATAGCAGAGAGAAGGCAAGATCTGCTGACATTCTAAAAAGGATGTAGGGATGGGCTACGGGCAGGGTGAGGACTGGCTTTCTGTGAGTCTCAAGGATTGGTGGGCTTTGGTGGGTGGGTGACTCATGGAGGGGCAGTCCCTGCAGACAGAAGGTAGGTTGCTGTCCTCTAACTCCAAAGAGGCCTTTAGGAGAAGAAAGGGCTGCTGGGGCCCCTGCGATGACTGGAAGATTGTGGCTCCAGACACAGATATTAACTTCAGAGATGGAAGTGAAGTGATGCTGAGAGGGGAAGAGATTCAGTAACATGGCAGCCCTCAACCACCCAGACAGCTAGAAGGGCAGCCTCGGGGATGCTTAGAACATGCTGGAACAGTGGCACAGCCTTCAGAATTCCAGGAAGGCCTGTAAAACCCACTCCATGGTGCTGTGTGTGCAGCAGGTGCTGCTCTGCTGTGGCTGTTTGCACGTGTGTGTACATACTAAAGCACAGAGGTGTCAAATGCATTTTGTATTGTTACCGCTTTACAGGTTCCAAAGCTGCTCCTCTAGAAAAGATGGGTGTGGTGGGCGCGGTGGCTCACACCTGTAATCCCAGCACTTTGAGAGGCCGAGGCTGGTGGATCACTTGAGCTCAGGAGTTCGAGACCAGCCTGGGCGACATGGTAAACCTTGTCTCTACAAAAAACAAAAAAGTGTAGCCAGGTGTGGTGGCGGGCATCTGTAGTCAGCTACTTGGGAGCCTGAGGTGGGAGGATTACTGGAGCCCAGGGAAGTTGAGACTATACTGAGCTGTGATCACACACTCCAGCCTGGGTGGCAGAGACCCCTCCCCGCAGAAAAGAAAGATGGGTGGACCCCACCAAGCGTCACCCCACCCAAAGGACAGGAGGCCGAGACCCAATGCAGGGGACTGCTGGAGGTCATCGGCCCTGCTTGGTTTTGGGGGTAACCATTGGCTTTGGTGTCAGGCAGAGCTGGATTCAAACTTACTGGTGTTTCTACAGCCACCAGTTGTATGACCCTGGCTCAGATGCCCAGATCACTTTGTCATTTGCCCGAGTAGGTGGTGCCCACAGCTACCTCACCAATGGTCGTGAGGGTTAGGCAGGGCATCTCCTGGAGTGCCAAGCTGAGAGCTGGTTTTTCGTTTTGTTTTTGTTTTTTGAGATAGGGTCTCGCTCTGTCGCCCAGGCTGGAGTGCAGTGGCACAATCTCGGCTCACTGCAACCTCCACCTCCTAGGTTCAAGAGATTCTCATGCCTCAGACACCCAAGTAGCTGGGACTACAGGTGCCTGCCACCACACCCAGATAGTCCCAGGGGCCCTGTTCTGTCCTCCCCTTCATGCCCTGCCGGCTGAAGGGTCAGGGCCAATGGCTGCCGGGGATTCCCCACCTGCCACCCTGCCCATTCCAGCACCTTCCAGACCCTCCAGGGTGAAGCTGAGAAATAATGAGACATCAGTCTGTAGGAAGGAGATCCAGGAGAGGAAAAAGAAACAAGTTTTATTAAAGCCCCAAACACTTGGCTAGAAAAACTGAAAAGGAAAGAGAGCAGAGAGGTGAGGAGAAGAAAAAAGGACATTAAAAAAGAGACAGAAAACACAGCAACCCTTTTCCATTTAGAAATTGTCAAGTTACACTGACAGAGGTCACAGAATATCCACAGAAGCCATCACTGCTACACCAACACGGGCCCTACAGGGTGGACGGGGCAGGGTGTGGAGCGGGGGCTCACCCCAGCGGGGGCCCCCTGGGGACCCCACTCAGAGCCTCGGGCCTGAGGCTCCAGGGGAAACAGCATATTGTGGAAGGGGCAGGAGAGAAACCCCCCATGCGAGTAACACAGCACAGTGGGTGGGGGCTGAGAGGATCAGGTACAGGGGTCCCCCCAGACGTCTTCGTTTTCTCTTGGTCAAGCACACACTGATGGACAGAGCAGCAAGGCGCATGCAGCTTGGGGCACGGATGTGCTGCGGGCTGTGAGAGGGCCAGCGGGGATGGGGGCTCGGGAAGGGAGCCGGAGCCAGCAGTGCAGGGATGATGGAACACATGTGAACACACGCACACAGAGGCACACCCACACGCCTGGGTCCGCACCAGCACACATACGTGCACACACATGCTGGCAGACACAGATCACATGCACCTCTATGTACGAGCCTCTGTCTACATGTATGTGGCCCACGCATGTCCCCGGCGCTAGGCGTGTCTGTGCACACATCACACGTGTTCTCAAAGCTCCTCTCACGCTAACATGCAGGTAGGCACGTGCCAATGCCCAAACAGGTTACATGCACCGATGTGCACACGCCTCCCGCACACGAGTGCTGGGCCACGCCTGCTAATGCAGGCCCCATGCATCTGCACACACGCAGGCTGCACGTGATTCCACACGGGTGCCTCCCAGCCGGTAAATGTGCCGAAACCAAAGGGAAAGAAAGATGCAAACCCACTGGGCTTCCCCCGAGTGGGTGGGGCGGGGCGCTCGGCTCCCTCCTTCTGCCCCTTCATTGGATGGACACTGCCCCCCACCTCCCCCACAAACGGACATTCAACTTAGGACAATGACGGTGGGGCACACATTCCAGTCACAGGGCTGAGGGTGGGAGCTTCGGGCAAGCGAAGTAGCAAGCAGAGTAATGAGTGGAGGGAGGAGGGGGCACCACTCCCCCCTCCCCTCCCAAGCCAGGGGGTCTCTGTACAGCCAAATCAAACCAGACCGTTTCACCGGGATCACAGAAGCCAGGCCAACGTGCCCGCCCCCCAGACCCCCTCCCCCGCCAAAACAGCGGCCAGGGAGAGAGTGCCATGGTTTTTTTTTTTTTCTTTTTTAAATATTTATATATATTTATATTACGTATATTATATATATAATATGTAAATATATTTTTAAAACAATATAAAATGTTAAGACACTTCACTTAAATGTAAAGAGTTGCCTGCAATTAAAAGTAATTGCATCATTT